CCCAAGGTATTTTTGTTCCTAATCCAAATGTTCGTGAACAAGCCCATTGTTTCAACCATCCCAATGTGTGAATAAATGCATTACGTGTTTCTGGATGATAAGTGTTAACTTTTTCCAAGTATTGAGTTGTTTGATTTTTCCAATTTTCTTCACCTACAATTAAAATATTTAAAAATAATATTCAAATAAAATATTTAAAAATAATCAAATAAAATATTAAATTAAAATATTAAATTAAAATATTAAATTAAAATATTTAATATTTATTTACCATAATCAATAAACCATTGATCAGTATAACAAACTACACATTCATCTCCACTTCTAGAAATTACTTTATTCTCAGGTTCGCTATATGACAAAGCTTGATTTGTTGAGAACATATATTCCTTGATAATATTCTTAACTTCCTGAACAGGTTTACCTGCATATTCACCAATAATCATTTTTCCGTTATAAAATCCATTCAAATAAACCATTTCTTTAGCTTTTGCCAATTTATCTGCTTGGAATTGATTTTTGATTTTCATATCATCACAAACCTTCTTTGCAGCAACAGTTCCAAATCCAGGTATTTCGATGATTGGTATAATTTCAAATGGAAGAACCATTTCATCAGAAAGATGATATTCATCTCTCATTTTTTGGTTTTCTTTCAAGTCTTGAAGGGCTCTATAGTCATCTGGAGCATCACTAGGAACACTAGTTACAATACCAGTTCCTTTATTCATTTTGATAGTAAGCAAAGGAAGTGTGTAAATTGTTTTGTATGATGTCAATGGAGATGAAAGCGGCAAGCCAATCAAATCCCTTCCTGAAATTTTCGCCAAAATATTTGGCTTTCCTTGTTCCTCAGAATATCCTTGATATGACAAATTTAAGGATGTATGTTCATGGCATATGTATACTTCTCCGTTTTTTGCTTTCATTACCTCGTATTCTCCCTTAGGTAATACCCAGCAATTTGTTTGTCCATACATTGTCTCAGGTCTTAATGTTGCTGCTACTAAATATATATCAGGTTCGTTGAGTTTGGATAAAATTTCTGGTAATTTTTGGATTTTTAATTTGATTAAAACGTATTCTTGTGGTAAAACTCCTTCTCCTGTTGCTCTATCATGATCTAAGCATGGTTGTCCATCTTTTGGTGAATAAATTGTGAATCTGAAATTTTATAATTTAATTTTAATTTTAATTTTAATTTTAATTTTAATTTTAATTTTAAATTTTAATTTTATTTTTAATTTTAAATTTAATTTTTAATTTTAATTTTAATTTTAATTTTAATTTTAATTTTAATTTTAAATTTTATATTTTAATTTTAATTTCAAATTTTAATTTTAATTTTAAATTTTATATTTTAATTTCAAATTTTAATTTTAATTTTAATTTTAATTTTAATTTTAATTTTTAATTTTAATTTTAATTTTAATTTTAATTTTAATTTTAATTTTTAATTTTAATTTTAATTTTAATTTTAATTTTAATTTTAATTTTAATTTTAATTTTAATTTTAATTCAAATTTTAATTCTAATTTTAATTTTAATTTTAAATTTAATTTTAATTTTAATTTTGATTCAAATTTTAATTTTAATATTTTTCACCTTTTTCCAAATGAAATTTTTTTCAAATCCTTCAAAGTTTCAAATTGCCAACGAATAAAACTATCATAATAAGGATTAGCTTCAGTAGTAATAAAAGAACGTCTCCAATCAACAGCAGCACCCATTCTTTCAATATCTTGTTTAGCCAAAGGAGGGAAATATTTCAACCAATAAAGTGGATCTGTAAATTTAGGAATTTCTTCATCTGGAATTTCCAATTCTTTCATTATATCATATTGTTTGCTTAATGATTTACTTTTAGCTTTACTTTTAGCTGAAACATGTCTTATTGTTTGTTCTTGTTGAGGAACTTCTTTTGGTTCTTCTTTTTTCTCTTCTTTTTTTGGTTCTTCTTGATTCGTTTTTTCGTTTTTTTGTTGTTCTAATTCTTCCCGTAATTTTTGTGCACTAGCCATAATTGGCATTCCTGTACAATGAAATGCTAGTGGAAATAATATTTTTTTCCCCAACATTCTTTGATATCTATTTATAATTAATTTTATTAATAATTTAATAAATAATTTTATAAATAATTTAATAAATAATTTTATTAATAATTTAATAAATAATTTTATATTTAATTTTATATTTAATTTTATAAATAATTTTATAAATAATTTTATATTTAATTTTATAAATAATTTAATAAATAATTTTATAATTAATTTTATAAATAATTTTATAAATAATTTTATAAATAATTTTATAAATAATTTTATAAATAATTTTATATTTAATTTTATATTTAATTTTATAAATAATTTTATATTTAATTTTATATTTAATTTTATAAATAATTTTATAATTAATTTTATATTTAATTTTATAATTAATTTTATATTTAATTTATAAATAATTTTATAAATAATTTTATATTTAATTTTATATTTAATTTATAAATAATTTTATAAATAATTTAATAAATACCTTGTTGCGAATTCGGCTTTTGAATAAGTAAAAGCATGACCTAAATGTAATTTTCCATTCATATAAGGATAAGGGAAAGTTGCAAAATATTTATCATCTCCTGTTCTTTTTTCATTTGGTGCATCTACTTGATAAATTTTTTTTTCTCTCCATTCTTCTTGAATTTGTTTTTCAATTTGTATCAATTTATCTCTTCTTGCAAAATTTTTCTAATTTTATAAATAATTTTATAAATAATTTTATAAATAATTTTATAAATAATTTTATAAATAATTTTATAAATAATTTTATAAATAATTTTATAAATAATTTTATAAATAATTTTATAAATAATTTAATAAATAATTTTATAAATAATTTTATAATTAATTTTATAATTAATTTTATAAATAATTTTATATTTAATTTTATAAATAATTTTATAAATAATTTTATAAATAATTTTATAAATAATTTTATAAATAATTTTATAAATAATTTTATAAATAATTTTATAAATAATTTTATAAATAATTTTTTATAAATAATTTTATAATTAATTTAATAAATAAATTTTATAAATAATTTTATAAATAATTTTATAATTAATTTTATATTTAATTTTTATAAATAATTTTATAAATAATTTAATAATTAATTTTATAAATAATTTTATAAATAATTTTATAAATAATTTTATAAATAATTTTAATAATTAATTTTTATAAATAATTTTATAAATAATTTTATATTTAATTTTTATAAATAATTTTATATTTAATTTTATATATAATTTTATAAATAATTTTATATATAATTTTATAATTAATTTTATAAATAATTTTTATAAATAATTTTATATTTAATTTTATATTTAATTTTATAAATAATTTTATATTTAATTTTATAAATAATTTTATAAATAATTTTATATTTAATTTTATAAATAAGTTTATAAATAATTTTATAAATAATTTTTATAATTAATTTAATAAATAATTTTATAAATAATTTTATAATTAATTTAATAAATAATTTTATAAATAATTTTATATTTAATTTTATATTTAATTTTATAAATAATTTTTAATAAATAATTTTATAATTAATTTTATAAATAATTTTATAAATAATTTTATAAATAATTTTATAAATAATTTTATAATTAATTTTATAATTAATTTTATAAATAATTTTATAATTAATTTTATAAATAATTTTATATTTAATTTAATAATTAATTTTATAAATAATTTTATAAATAATTTTATAAATAATTTTATAAATAATTTTATAAATAATTTTTATAAATTTAATTTTATAAATAATTTTATATTTAATTTTTATAAATAATTTTATAAATAATTTTATTAATAATTTTATTAATAATTTTTATAAATAATTTTATAAATAATTTTATAAATAATTTTATAAATAATTTTTATAAATAATTTTATAAATAATTTAATAAATAATTTTATAAATAATTTTAATAAATAATTTTATAAATAATTTTATAAATAATTTTATAAATAATTTTATTAATAATTTTATAAATAATTTTATTAATAATTTTATAAATAATTTTATAAATAATTTTATAAATAATTTTATAAATAATTTTATAAATAATTTTATAAATAATTTTATTAATAATTTTATATTTAATTTTATAAATAATTTTATAAATAATTTTATAAATAATTTTATAAATAATTTTATAATTAATTTTATAAATAATTTTATTAATAATTTAATATTTAATTTTATAAATAATTTTATAAATAATTTTATAAATAATTTTATTAATAATTTAATAAATAATTTTTATAAATAATTTTATAAATAATTTTATTAATAATTTTATAAATAATTTTATATTTAATTTTATAAATAATTTTATAAATAATTTTATAAATAATTTTATAAATAATTTTATAAATAATTTTATAAATAATTTTATAATTAATTTTATAAATAATTTTATAATTAATTTTATAAATAATTTTATAAATAATTTTATAAATAATTTTATTAATAATTTTATAAATAATTTTATATTTAATTTTATAATTCATTTTATAAATAATTTTATATTTAATTTTATTAATAATTTTTATATATAATTTTATATTTAATTTTATAAATAATTTTATAAATTTAATTTTATAAATAATTTTATAAATAATTTTATAATTAATTTTATAAATAATTTTATAAATAATTTTATAAATAATTTTATAAATAATTTTAATAAATAATTTTATAATTAATTTTATATTTAATTTTATATTTAATTTTATATTTAATTTTACTTCTGATTCCATTTTAAATTATAATTAAAATAGTTTTAAAAAAATTGAAAAATGAAAAAAATGAAAAATGAAAAAAATTTTTTTTTTCTTTTAAAATACAAATTAGAAATTAAAACGAATGATGACGTTTTTTAATTAAATAATAAAAAAAAATTTAAATAAAAAAAAAAATTATGCCGTCTAAAAGGATCGAACTTTTGACCTCTTGTTCTCTCGTTTTTAAATTAATTTAAAATAATTAAATTACGAGACAAGCGCTCTACCACTGAGCTAAGACGGCTTTTTATTTTATTTTAATTAAAATTTAAATTAAAATTTTTTCTTTTTTTTTTTTTAAAAATTTATCTTTTTATATTAATTTTTTAAAATATTTTCTTTTTTATTTTTCTTTTTAAAAAATTCTTCTTTATCAAATCTCCCTTAAATTTTTTGCTTTTTAACAATTTTTTCTTTTTAATTTTTTTTCATTTTTCTTCTCTTCTAAAATTCATTTCCCATTTTTTGAATTTTAAATAGCAAAACAAGAAAAAAAAAAGAAAAAAAGAAAATGAATAAGAATATTTACTTTATCTTCTTTTTAATTTCTATTGTTTTTTCACAAGCTCCAATACCAAAAAGACCTGATGGACACAAACAAGGAGATATAAACGCTCCTGTTTATTTAGAGATGTTTTGTGATCTTTGTATAAATTTGTTTTTAATAAATTTAAACCCCCAATTTTTTAGATTAATCAGATCAATATTTTATTTTGACATTTTGCTTTTTTAATTATAATTTAAATTGAAATTAAAATTAAAATCTAAATCAAAATCTAAATCTAAATCTAAATCTAAATATAAATCTAAAATATAAATCTAAATCTAAATCTAAATCTAAATATAAATATAAATCTAAATCTAAATCTAAATATAAATATAAATCTAAATCTAAATATAAAATATAAATATAAATATAAATATAAATATAAATCTAAATCTAAATATAAAATCTAAATCTAAAATATAAATCAAAATCTAAATATAAATATAAATATAAATCTTTTAAAATTAAAATCTAAATATAAATCTAAATCTAAATCTAAATATAAATATAAATATAAATCTAAATATAAATATAAATATAAATCTAAATATAAATATAAATATAAATCTAAATCTAAATATAAATCTAAAATATAAATCTAAAATATAAATATAAATCTAAATCTAAATCTAAATCTAAATCTAAATCTAAATCTAAATCTAAATCTAAAAATCTAAATAAAAATAATAAATAAAAAATATAAATAAAAATATAAATATAAATATAAAATATAAATATAAATATAAATATAAATATAAATATAAATATAAATCTAAAATATAAAAATATAAAAATATAAATATAAATATAAATATAAATATAAATATAAATATAAATATAAATATAAATATAAATATAAATATAAAATATAAATATAAATATAAATATAAATATAAATCTGAAAATATAAATATAAATATCCAAATCTTTTAAATCTAAATCTAAATCTAAATTAAATCTAAATATAAATATAAATATAAATCTAAATATAAATCTAAAATAATCAAATCTAAATCAAAATCAATATTAAATATTATAAATTATAAATCTAAATATAAATTAAATCAAAATCTTTTTAAATATAAATCCAAAAATATAAATATAAATATAAATATAAATATAAATATAAATCTAAATCTAAATCTAAATCTAAATCTAAATCTAAAATCTAAATCTAAATATAAATCTAAATCTAAAAAAATCAAAATTTAAAATATAAATATAAATCTAAAATTAAAATATAAATATAAATATAAATATAAATATAAATCTAAAATATAAATATAAATCTAAATCTAAATCTAAATATAAATATAAATATAACTAAAATCTAAATATAAATCTAAATATAAATCTAAATCTAAAATATAAATCTAAATATAAATATAAATCTAAATATAAATATAAATATAAATATAAATATAAATATAAATATAAATCTAAATATAAAATCTAAATCTAAATATAAATCTAAATCTAAATATAAAAATAAAATCTAAATCTAAATATAAATCTAAATCTAAATATAAATCTAAATCAAAATCTAAATTTAAAATATTTGTATTTATATTTAGTATGCCCTGACTGCGCTCATTCTTGGCCAACAATTAAAAATGTTCTTGAATATTATGGATCATCAAAAATTTATTTCATATTTCATGTTTTCCCACTTCCTTATCATACATCAGCATTTTTCATGGCAGAAGCATCATTAGTTCTTGAAAACTACACACAATCATTATTTTGGGATTTATTAGATTCACTTTATATTGATAGTAAACAACAAATGTTCTGGGATGATGCAGTTGAAAACACAACACTTGAAGGTATTAAATCGTTAATGGGAAGTTATTTACTGGATGAATTTGGATTACCTAATTCTTATTTTTGGAATGGAATGAATGATGTCACAATTGATTGGAATTCTAGAGTTTCTTGGAAATATGCTTGCACAAGAGGTGTTTCTGGAACTCCTACATTTATGGTTAATGGTGTTTATGTTGCTATGGGTTCCGATTCAAGTTTGAATGATTGGATCAATTTATTGAATCCTCTTTTCCTTAACAAACCAATCTATTAATTGATTCAATTTTTAAATTCAATTTTCAATTCAATTTTTAAATTCAATTTTCAAATTCAATTTAATCTGATTGAATTTCCCTTTCTTTTTCTTTTGATTTCTTTTCCCTTTGATTTCATTTTCCTTTTGATTTCCATTCAATTTCATTTTTGATTTGATTCATCTCTTGATTAAGAATTTGTTGATGAATCAATTCACAAAATAAAAAGGAAAAAAATTTCTTCATTTCAGTTTAATTTTGAATTATATTTTAATTAATAAATTATTTATTAAATTATTTTAAAATAATAAATAGGAAATAATCTATAACTTTATTTTAAATTTTATATTAAATTTAATTATTAATAAATTAATAAATATTTTTAATTTAATTATATTAATTTTGGATTATGATTTTAAATAATAATTTATTTATTAAATTATTTTAAAATAATAAATAGGAAATAATCTATAATTTTATATTAAATTTTATTATTTAATTTAATTATTAATAAATTAATAAATATTTTTAATTTAATTATATTAATTTTGAATTATATTTTAATTAATAATTTATTTATTAAATTATTTTAAAATAATAAGTAGGAAATAATCTATAATTTTTATATTAAATTTTATATTAAATTTAATTATTAATAAATTAATAAATATTTTTAATTTAATTATATTAATTTTGGATTATATTTTAAATAATAATTTATTTATTAAATTATTTTAAAATAATAAATAGGAAATAATCTATAATTTTATATTAAATTTTATTATTTAATTTAATTATTAATAAATTAATAAATATTTTTAATTTAATTATATTTATTTTTGATTATATTTTTAATTAATAAATTATTTATTAAATTAATTTAAAATAATAAATAGGAAATAATCTATAATTTTATATTTATTTTTATATTAAATTTTATTATTAATAAATTAATAAATATTTTTAATTTAATTATATTAATTTTTGGATTATATTTTAATTAATAAATTATTTATTAAATTAATTTAAAATAATAAATAGGAAATAATCCATAACTTTATTTTAAATTTTATATTAAATTTTATTATTAATAAATTAATAAATATTTTTAATTTAATTATATTAATTTTGGATTATATTTTAATTAATAAATTATTTATTAAATTATTTTAAAATAATAAATAAGAAATAATCTATAATTTTATATTTAATTTTATATTAAATTTTATATTAAATTTTATATTAAATTTTATTATTAATAAATTAATAAATATTTTTGATTTAATTATATTAATTTTGAATTATATTTTTAAATAATAAATTATTTATTAAATTAATTTAAAATAATAAATAGGAAATAATCTATAACTTTTATTTTAAATTTTATTATTTAATTTTTATTATTAATAAATTAATAAATATTTTTAATTTAATTATATTTATTTTGGATTATATTTTAATTAATAAATTATTTATTAAATTTATTTAAAATAATAAATAAGAAATAATCTATAATTTTATATTAATTTTTATATTAAATTTTATTATTAATAAATTAATAAATATATTTAATTTAATTATATTAATTTTAGGTTATATTTTTAAATAATAATTTATTTATTAAATTAATTTAAAATAATGAATAAGAAATAATCCATAATTTTATATTAAATTTTATATTAAATTTTAATTATTAATAAATTAATAAATATTTTTAATTTAATTATATTAATTTTTGAATTATATTTTAAATAATAAATTATTCATTAAATTAATTTAAAATAATAAATAGGAAATAATTTATAATTTTATATTAAATTTTATATTAAATTTTATTATTAATAAATTAATAAATATTTTTGATTTAATTATATTAATTTTGAATTATATTTTAATTAATAAATTATTTATTAAATTAATTTAAAATAATAAATAGGAAATAATCTATAATTTTATATTAAATTTTATATTAAATTTTATTATTAATAAATTAATAAATATTTTTAATTTAATTATATTAATTTTGGATTATGTTTTTAAATAATAATTTGTTTATTAAATTAATTTAAAATAATAAATAAGAAATAATCTATAACTTTATTTTTAATTTTTATATTAAATTTTATTATTAATAAATTAATAAATATTTTTAATTTAATTATATTAATTTTTGGATTATATTTTTAAATAATAAATTATTTATTAAATTATTTTAAAATAATAAATAGAAAATAATTTATAATTTTTATATTAAATTTTATATTTAATTTTATTATTAATAAATTTAAATATATTTAATTTAAATATTAATTTTAATTATTAATAAATAATAATTATTTATTAAATTAATTTAAAATAATAAATAAGAAATAATCTATAATTTTATATTTAATTTTTATATTTAAATTTTATTATTAATAAATTAATAAATATTTTTAATTTAATTATATTAATTTTGGATTATATTTTAAATAATAAATTATTTATTAAATTAATTTAAAATAATAAATAGGAAATAATTTATAATTTTATTTTAAATTTTATTATTTAATTTAATGTTTTTTTAATGTTGAAAAAAATTAAAAATTAGTAAATTAATTTCGAAGTAAATTACTTTCCAATGAATTTATTGTGAAA